GTATAAGCAGTTCCGTATATAAGCAGATCCATATATAAGCAGGTCCAGATATAAGCAGAACCAATATATGCAGTTCCATGCACTGTATAAGCGGTTCCAGGTATAAGCAGTACCATATAATCAGGTCCAGGTATGAGCAGTCCCAATATGAGCAGTTCCATAAAAGCAGTTCCATAATACATAAGCAGTTCCGTAATACATAAGCAGTTCCGTAATACATAAGCAGTTCCATAATACGTAAGCAGTTCCACGATACGTAAGCAGTTCCACGATACGTAAGCAGTTCCATAATACGTAAGCAGTTCCAGATATAAGCAGTTCCGTGAGGGATTAAACTGAGAGCTCGCAGTCCAATTTGAGGGATTAAACGGAGCTTGCAGTCAGAGTGAAGGATTTAAACGGAGCTTGGTTAAAGAGAGCCTGCAGACCAATGTGAGGGCTTTAAACTGATGCTTGCCCACCAATGCACGGGGCCAACTGAGCCTGCATTACAAGCGCGGGGCCAACTGAGCCTGTAGGACAATGCGAGGGGAATAAACCGTCCGCAGATCTCATACTTACCCGCAACGCCAGAAGATAAGGGACAACACGACGGGACCACACCGTATGGCACGAGGAGGCAGGGATGCGCACGGCTCCCACCGCACCGGTCCAGACCGGCCGTATGCAGCAGCAGGCCGCGACGAGACGAGCAGCGGCGAACCCGCAGAAAGAGCCCGCAAAGGAGGAGAGCGGCAAAGACCCACGGACCACAGCACGAGACCCGCAGCAGGTGCAGCGACGCGGAGGAGGAGCAGACGACACGCAGCAGGACAGAGGACAGCAGGGACACGCACGAAGTAAGTGAGAGTAGAACAAAGCGATTCCTCCAGAACGACTCTTTGCAAGGCTTCGCTCTTTGCTGCAGCTTCAAGAGGCCGAGAATGGGAGTTCCTCCGCTTTTAAGCAGCTTGCCTGGCTGGACCGGTGATTGGAAGGGGGCGTTTGCCGTGCGATAGGCTGGGGATGAGAACCGGCCTGGAGGGGTTACCTTTGGCTGACGTCTACCAAATTGAACTTACGCTGGCTGCATCAGCCTTCCTCTTTTTCCCAATCCTACTTTAAAGGAGACATATTATTAATATACTTGAGCTTTTAACCATGTTACAACATTGTTCCCTCATTTTGTAACTATGCCCCTTACAGCTCCTGTTTCAGTCCTGTAATAGTTTTCTGCCTTTTGAAACAAAAGCCCAGCCCATAAAAAAGTTTTGGTAATTCATCAAGTGAAATTACAATCGTATGGCTGTGTTTTGCAGACAAAAACTCTGGTAGTTACATAGATATAGGGCAGGCCGATAACTTAAGGTTACTTAACCTAACCCCGGTTCTTTGATAACAGAGTGAGGTGTTTCACTATGGGAATCGCCTTGGGCGTGACCATCCATGGAAGCTCCAATGGCACCACGTCTGTCTTTTGACAGACAGGTTGACAGCGCCTAGCACCGCCCACCTACCCTGGTACAGTCAACCTCCTCCTTTTGGAATCATTCAAAAGCGCTTTCTGACCGCTTTGCAAGGAGGGTAATGAAGGTGAAACACCTCACTCTGTTATCAAAGAACCGGGGTTACGTTAAGTAACCTTAAGTTATTTTTCTAACTTCGTTCGGTGTTTCACTATGGGAGATATGGACAACTCCCGTATTGCAAGAACTGCTCCTGAAGCAAAAGGACCACCGAGGCGCCAGACGGTGACCTCAAACAGTACCAGAAGCACCTGGTTCCAAGACTACCTGAGCCAAAGAGGAGCCAGAGACATCCAGTCGATAAAAACGAACAAAGGTATGCGGCGATGACCAGCTGGCCGCCGCACATATATCCTGGACAGACACACCTCGGAACAGGGCCCAAGAAGTGGCAACACCCCTGGTGGAGTGTGCCCTCAACCCCTGCGGTGGCACTATACCCCTGCAGGTATAGGCCAGAGAAATTGTCTCCACAATCCAGTGAGAGATCCTCTGACTGGACACCGGCTTTCCCAAATGGGGAGAAGCCCAGGACACAAACAACTGGTCGGCTTTCCTTAAACCAGCTGTCCTGTCAACATATACCCGCAGCGCGCGCACTGGGCACAAAGAGTGCAGTAGCCGCTCCTCCTCAGAGGAGAAAGGCGGAGGATGGAAGGCATTAAGCTCCAGTGTAGGGCAGCTATATGCAGAATCCACCTTTGGTACAAAAGCCGGGTTAGGGCGCAAGCGCACCTTAGATAACCCCGGCGCAAACTGCAGACATGAGGGGCTGACAGAAAAAGCCTGTAGTTCACTCACGCGCTTTGCAGACGTCAGAGCAAGAAGCAGAACTGTCTTATAAGCAACATACTTCAAGGCCACAGCCCCTAAGGGCTCAAAAGGGTGATGACAAAGGGCATCAAGCACGACCGACAAATCCCACAAGGGAACCAGGGACTTAACCACTGGAAGTTTACGTCGTGCACCCCTCATGAAGCGACAAACTAGAGGGTGCTGTCCCACAGTTTTGTCACCGATACCCACGTGGCACGCCGATATGGCAGCCAAATAGACCTTTATAGTAGAAAAAGCCTTACGCTCTTCTAACAAATGTTGTAAAAAACACAAGACGTCAGACACGGAGCATTGGAACGGGATGATCTGTCTAGCCCCACACCATTCCTCAAAAACCCGCCACTTGCAGCTATACGAAGAGCGAGTGGAGGAGGCCCTAGCACACTGTATAGTATCTATAACAGGCGCCGGAAGACCCGTGGCGTTCAAGTTCCACCTTTCACGGGCCAGGCCCAGAGAGCCACCCGGTCTGGGTGAGGATGAAAAATCTCCCCGCCCGCCTGGCACAACAGGTCCCTCCGCAGAGGAAGAGGCCATGGGTTGTCCCATAAAAGCTGCACTATCTCCGCCATCCATGGCTTGGACAACCAACGGGGAGCAATCAAAATGAGCAACAGCCTCTGTTCTCTCACCCGCGCTAGGGTGGGTGAGATCAGACTGATGGGAGGAAACGCATATAGTAGAACGGTCGGCCACGGGTGGGCCAGAGCGTCCACGCCCAGAGACGCGTTTGCGTCTCCCAGAGAGAAGAACAGTGGGCACTTTGCGTTTTCCCGCGAGGCGAAGAGATCTACGGCAGCCCGACCGTATCTCCGCCACAACTGCTCCACCACCTGAGGGTGGAGAACCCATTCTCCGTACAGGGGGTTTCCCCTCGAAAGCAGGTCGGCCCCCTTGTTGAGGACGCCTGGAACATAAGACGCTCGGAGAGATAGGAACCTTGTGTCGCTCCACAAAATCACCCTCTGTGCCAGCCTGTGCAGCTGAAGAGAGCGGGTACCACCCTGGCGATTTATGTACGAGACAACTGTTGCATTGTCTGTTCTCACCAGAACGTGATGGTCCTGAACGAAAGGCAGAAAATGCTTCAGAGCTAGATACACCGCCCAAAGTTCCAGCACATTGATGTGCCTCTGGGCTAAATGTGGGTCCCAGGTCCCATTCACCGTCCGACCCGACAGAGTGGCCCCCCACCCTGACAGGGAAGCGTCGGTTGTCAGGGTAACCCTTGACGACACGGCGCCCAGCGGGACTCCGGCTGAAAGAGCATGATGAGCCTCCCGCCACGGACGTAGTGCAATAACACACTGGGAATCCACCTTCACTCTGCGGTGAAGGTGACGTTTGGGACACAAGCGCAACGCTGTGATCCAACGTTGAAATGGTCTCATCATTAAAAGCCCTAGGCGCACGACAGATATTACTGACGCCATGAGACCAGCGAGGCGCAGGCACGTTCTGAACGTGACTGTCGCACCCGGGTTGAAAAACGCCAAGCAGCGAGTGAGAGACAGCCGTCTCTCGTCTGTCAGTGTGGCTCGATGTGAAACAGAGTTTATGCATAAACCCAGGTATTGAGTCTGCTGTCTGGGTTCCAACCGGCTCTTTGCGTGGTTTATTCTGAAACCCAGGCTGGTCAAGTGACTGAGCACTGTGGCAGTCTCTCTCACTGCGGCGCCCTGTGAACTGGCGCATATCAGATAATCGTCTATATAAGAGAATATCCGTATTCCCCTGGCCCGGAGAGGAGCCAGAGCTGCCTCCACACAAGTGGTGAACACCCGTGGGGCTAGGGAGAGACCGAAGGGAATGACCTGGTACTCGTACGCTGTTCCCCCGTGAGCAAAACGGAGAAATTTCCTGTGCGCTGGATGCACCTCGATGTGGAAATATGCATCCGCAAGATCGATTGTGGTGAACCAATCCCCTTTGCGTATTGAACGACACAGAGCTTTGTGCGTCAACATTTTGAATCTGAATCTCCGTAGATGTGTGTTCAAAACACGGAGGTCTAGAATGGGACGCAGTGACAGAGAGCCCTTCTTTGGAACCAGAAAGTAGCGGGAGTAGAAGCCCAGCTGAGACTCGCTCTCTGGTACAATGCGGATAGCGTGCTTGCTTAACAGGGATGTAATTTCGTCCTGTAAGACACGGGCTGCGTCCCCTGAAGCCACTGAAACAAATACTCCGTTGAAGGAGGGTGGTTTCATAGCAAACTGCAGTCTGTAACCTCGAGAAACAGTGGATTGAACCCAAGGATTGACTGCGCATGCGCGCCACTGCTCCGCTCTGACAGAGAGTGGGGCTTGCACCAGGGGAATCCCTGGTGACGTCACTCCCCTGAGAGGAGCAGAGCCTTCTGCCTGAGAAGGAGCGTGAGCTCCCTCTGGAGGCGAACGAAGGGAATGATCCAAACTTAATTGAATTTTTTTGTTTCTTTGATAACTCACCCTTAGCCCTTGGCCTGGATGTGAGTTTAACAACTTTATTTTTTGAAAAAGTGTTTTGTGAACATGAGACCCAAGACTCATTCCCTGTAACGTGCGAGGGGAGAGAAAGCCAGAGAGGTCGCCTGGAGAACTGTGCGGGGCCTCTGAACTGGTACCAGGGTCCATTCTCCTCCTTTTCAGAGGGGGAACAGGTGAAGAAGCTTGATTGCTAGGAATTGCGCTTCTTTTTGCTCTCCCCGGGCTGAGAAGAGCGGTTTTTTGCTGCAGCCGCAGCATAGGAGTGTTTTCCCCATGGTCTGGAGTTGCCTGGCCGTTGCTGCTGGCCAGAATGCTGGTTGGAATGCTGGCCAGGGTGCTGGGTTGCCCCCCTCTGCGGCCCAGGGCCCGCCCTGGGAACCCTGGGGCCTGTCTGTCCAGAGGGGCCCGCTCTCTGGGGCTGCGCTGGACGAGGAGGTTGTTTCCTTGGCAGACAAAGATTAAAGGCCGCACCCTCCTCTTTACGGAGGGTACTGGTCTCCTTCATCTTCTCCAGGGCCGGACCAAACAGACCTTTGGTAGGGTCATAAGCAGTGTCCATAACTTCAGCCTTCTGAGCGTCTGTCAGACCTGAGTGGTTGAGCCATAGACCCCTCTCACCCGCTACGGCCAGTCCCATGACATGGCCGCAGCCCTGGACAGCTCCACGAGTAGAGCGTAGGATGAGATCATTTACCACGCAGATTTCCTCCCAGATGACCGGGTTAGGAGACCCGGAGTCCAGCTGTTGTCCCATTTCCTCAAGTAGTTCCCCTTGATAACCGGACAGTAAGGCAAGGCAAGGCAAGTTTATTTATATAGCACAATTCATACACAAGGCAATTCAAAGTGCTGAACAAAACAAGAAAGCATTAAAATCATAAATTATCACAGAACATTAAAAAGAAAGATAAAAATATAAAATCCCTCAGTTGTATGCACAGTTAAACAGAACCGTCTTTAACCTGGTTTTAAACATTGTCAGAGAGGAGGCCTGTCTCACATCTTCAGGAAGACTGTTCCAGATTTTAGCAGCATTAATCTGAAAAGCAGCCTCCCCATGTTTAGTTCTGACTCTGGGCACTAACAGGAGTCCAGTCCCTGTGCTCCTCAGAGTCCGGGCTGGTTCATATGGGACAAACATGTCACTAATATATTTTGGTGCGAGGCTATGGAGAGACTTGTACACAAGCAGAGCTGTTTTAAAGTCTATTCTCTGAGCCACAGGAAGCCAGTGCAGAGACCTGAGGACTGGACTAATGTGGTCGTACTTCCTGGTTCTTGTCAGGACTCGAGCTGCTGCATTTTGAATGTACTGCAGCTGTTTTACAGCCTGTTTGGACAGACCTGTGAGCAGGCCATTGCAGTAGTCTAACCTACTGGAGACAAATGCATGGATAAGAATCTCCAAGTCTGCTTTAGACACTATGTTTTTGATCCTGGCAATGTTTTTTAGATGGTAAAAAGCTGCTGATGTTACTGATTTGATGTGGCTATTAAAATTTAAGTCTGAGTCCAGTATTACCCCTAGATTTCTGACCTTGTTTGAAGGTTTTAGGGAGAGAGACTGTAGGTGACAGATGACGCTCTCTCTTTGTTTCTGGGGACCAAAGACAATCATTTCAGTTTTGTCTGCGTTTAGCTGAAGGAAGTTGTTTTGCATCCACTCACTGATCTGTTGGATACAGTGAAGGAGTGAGTCCACTGGTCCATGTTCTCCTGCAGTCAGTGAGACATAGATCTGAGTGTCGTCTGCATAGTTATGATAGGAAACTTTGTTTCTGCGTATTAACTGACCTAACGGCAGCATGTAGAGATTGAACAGAAGAGGTCCCAGGATCGACCCCTGTGGGACTCCACAGGTCAGGGCCATATGATCTGAGACACAGTTTCCAATCTCCACAAAGTACTTCCTGTCTTCAAGGTAAGACCTAAACCAACTTAGGGCGGTGCCAGTGACGCCAACCCAGTCCTCTAGTCTCTGTAGGAGGATCTCATGGTCGACGGTGTCAAAGGCAGCACTTAGATCTAACAAGATTAAGATTGAGACTTTGCCTGCGTCAGTGTTTAGCCGGATATCGTTTGTAACCTTAACGAGAGCAGTCTCAGTGCTGTGGTGGGGTCTAAAGCCGGACTGAAACATATCAAATGAGTTGTTGATTATAAGAAATCTAGTAAGCTGTAGGTAGACAACTTTCTCAAGGACTTTCCCCATAAATGGCAGATTTGAGATGGGACGATAGTTGTTAAGTACAGTGGCATCCAGACTGCTCTTTTTTAGCAGGGGCCTGATGACTGCAGTTTTCAGGGCCTTTGGGAATATTCCAGAATGAAGGGACATGTTTACTATCTGTGTGAGTGAAGGTAACAGACTGCTCAGAACAGACTTCATAAATCTAGTGGGTAGTACATCCAGGCTGCATGTGGAGGAGCTCAAACTGGAGATTATCTCTTGGACAGTTTTATCATTTACAGGTGCAAAGTGAGTTAGCTCAGAGAGCCTTTCTGGCTGTTGGATGGTTATCTGTGGATTGGAGACAATGGCGCTTTTGATGCCTTGAACCTTGTCATTGAAAAAATTAGCAAACTCATTGCATTTACGTTTGGAAGTAAGCTCTAATGGCATTTGAACAGGGGGGTTTGTTAATCTATTAACTGTTGAGAACAGAACACGCAGATTGTTGCTGCAGCCTTCAATCATTTCAGAAAAATAGCTTTCTCTCGTACTACGTAGCACCCGGTTAAACTCGCACAACTTATCTTTGAAGATCTCGTAATCTACCTGGAGGTTGGACTTGCGCCACTTCCGCTCGGCCCTCCGGCACTTTTCTCTTTTGTGCCCTGACCGAGTCTGCTTTAGCCCACGGCGCCTTCTGCTTATTTTTCACTATTTTAACCTTCACAGGGGCAACGGTATCCAGAACATTCAAAACACTAGAGGTGACAGAGTTAAACAGTTCATCTACAGTAGAATACGATGCATTCTCAAAGTTTATCATTTCCATAAATAGTTCACTCGTATTTTCATTTATGCGCCTTCTTCGAACAGTTGCAGAGTCCACTGGTGGTTTGTTAGTGAAACACATGTCAAAAAAAACACAGAAATGATCCGAAAGAGCAACATCGACCACGTTTACATTTGAAATAATCACCCCCTTTGTAACTAACAGATCTAGAGTGTGCCCTCTGCTGTGGGTGGGGCCACTTACGTGCTGAGTGAGATCAAAGGATTCAAGTACAGAACTCAGCTCATTTGCATTTCTGTCATCAACATTATCCACATGAATATTAAAATCACCTGTAATAACCAAACTATCAAAATCTGTGCATACAACTGAAAGCAACTCGGTAAAATGATCAATAAAACTGTGACATGACTGCGGTGGCTTGTATAGGACAACGAAGAGTATTGGAGGAGATTGTTTTTGTTGTATTTTAAAAGACACATATTCAAATGACGAAAACTTCCCAAGAGACATTCTATGGGAGACAAAGTGGTCTCTAAAAATGGCAGCTAAGCCTCCTCCTTTTTTGTTTTCCCGTATTTCAGATTCAAACTTGAAATTTGGTGGTGATGCTTCTATTAAAACTGCATTTTCTGAATTTTGGTCAAGCCAAGTTTCAGCCATGAACATAAGATCAAGATTATGAGAAGAAATAAAATTATTGATTAAAAAAGACTTGTTACAAAGAGATCTGACATTAAGCGTAGCAAGTTTCAAAGTTTCAGTATCAGCGGTTGCGGTCGGCTGATTCTTACACGGAACAAGAATTAGATTTTCCAGATTAGACTGATTAACTCCAGATGTTTTTCTGTAATGTATTCTTTGTGTTATCACTAAGGGAATGGCACAGGTGGCTTCATGACAGGGCCCCAGCCGGGTCTCTCCTCTAACTAGACTGCCAGTGGCTGCGAAGCAGAGACCCTGTGCATCCTAGTGTTTAGAGAAAAGAGGGGTAGGGGAAGGCGGGGGAGGAGGATGGAGAGGTGGGTGGCTTTTGGGTGTTGAACGAGGGGGGCAGGGAGGTGGAGGGGTTTTAGGTGATGGGTTAGGGCCGGGGTGGGCTGAGGCAGAGGTTTTGGATGTTGAACGAGGGGGAAGTGGGGGTGGAATGGTCATGAGGTTAGGGGAGGGACTGGCTGAGGTGGTTTTTGTAGGTGAATTGGAAACCCTAGGTGGTTTTGGAGATACATATGGGGAGTGGTTTAGAATGTTGGACAGGACTCTAGATCGAGCTAATATGGGTGTGAGAGGAATAGTCTTCATCGCCGATTTTATTAGCCCTGCAGAGTGTTCAGGTAGGTCTAACAGTGAAGGCGGGGATGAAAAACAAAGGGAGGTGTCCCCATTCTCTCTTGATGGAGTGGACGTGGCAGGGGGGACCCAAGACAGGTCCTTGGGAGGTGGCGAGGGAGTCTTTAATGGAGGGGCAGGTGGTTGAGGAAACCCCAGCACAGGCCTGTCTGCTGTAGGCTGGGGTGAGGATTGGGGCTTCAGAGGCGCTGTAGATGAAGAAGGCGTGGCTGCTTTGGAGCAGGCTGGGGATGAGGATGGTGGTGGTGGTCGTGCTGCTGGTGCTGCTACTGGTGATGATGCAGCTGCTGCTGGTGATGATGCAGCTGCTGCTGGTGATGATGCAGCTGCTGCTGGTAATGATGCAGCTGCTGCTGGTGATGATGCAGCTGCTGCTGGTGATGATGCAGCTGCTTCTGATGACAGTGGAGGTGTTGAGATCCTTCGAGGTGGTTGTGGTGTTGAGATCCTTCGAGGTGGTGGTGGTGTTGAGATCCTTCGAGGTGGTGGAGGTGCAGAGACTTTTGGAGTCGGCTTCCTCCCTTTCGATGGCTGCACGCGCTGCGCAGGCTGAGATCTCAGGGCAAAAGAAAGGTTATCCATCAGCACTTTTACTCCGTAAGTGTTCAGATGTGGCCCTTTCCCTTCAAAAAGCTCATGCCTATTCCAGAACAGATTAAAATTCTCAATGAAGGCAAGTCCTCTGCGTGAACATTCGTTGAGTAGGAAAGTATTTAGCTGATACAGACGACTGAATTTCATTTGCTTCCCGTCCACATTTGGTAGTGGGCCACTGATAACGATTTTTGTGTCCATTTTAGCAAGGTCGTCCAATAATAGAGAGTAATCCCGTTTCAACTTTTCACTTGTGTTGTCATAGACGTCTACTGCCCCCACGTGGATCAACAATCTTTTTACCCCGCCGGTCTCAGACAGAAGCCTCGGAGCCAACCGCCTTATCTCATCCACTTTGGCAGAGTGTACTGAGTGAACCTTGAGATTACGCATATTTACATTTCTTATCGCCGAATCCCCGATAAAGAGCGACTCAGCTGCATTTGACCTTGACTGAGACTGAGACTGGGACTGAGAGACTACTGCTGATTCATCTTCTAAAAGTGGTGAAAAGCGGTTTCTTGTAATTCAAGATTTTTGCTGTGGCATTATGACACTCTTGTTATCATTAGCTTTGCCTTGTTTGGGCTTGGCACCATATGTGTTCCAACAATTGTCTCTGTTGATTTTGGGAAATGAAATAGCGTCATCATAACTTACGTTTTGTCCATGTGGTCCATTTCCTTTCACTGGTATTGTTGTGTTCAGCCCCAATTCTGATTCAAGCACAAACATTCGGTCTTGAAGAAGTTTTAGCTCCTGTTTGAGTGAAAAACAGCCGTCGCAAAGTTTTGTTCTATTTTCCCGTCCTCCCGACATGCTGTAAGTTAGGTAAATTCCACCAGTCTTGTGTTGAAGTTTGTAAAAAGGAGTAATCCGTGTTTTGTGGAATAAAAATGTAAGCAAAAATGATTAAAGGAGATAAAAAAGCAGCAAGCGAGGAGCAGCAAGAGAATGCGACTGCTCTGTCCAGAGCAGGAAGTCACAGTAGAGACAGTAAAGTCACAGTATTCAGTACGCATGCAGATTGAGAAGCCTATCTGTACATGCGTTGCAGAATGGAGGATGTAACTCTCTCTGATTTTGTGGGCAGGGAAACCTGACTTGAGGCTGAGACGGAACGGCGATTAGGATGGAGGTGAAAAGCCACTGAAGGCTCCACCGCTGGGGGTTCGGCCAACCCCAGCTCCTTCATCCCATGGATCTCCAGCTTTGAATAGCCCTGTACAGGAAGCTTGCTCCTAAGTGGGTTATTCCAAAACCTCCCCACCTCTCTCATGCATGCGCTGACAGCAGGGAGAAGTTGCTTCGGAGGTGGATGCGCTGGCGGGAGCCGTTTACCGTCATATAAATCCCTTTCCCCATCCTCCGCATCTACAGCGGCTGGCCAGGTTATGTTAAGCTTGGCGGCAGCGCGCTTGCACACATCATATAGGCTGCTATCGACGGGAGTCGCAGCCTCAGATGCGCTGGAGGGTCGGGACTGGGCCGCTGGGAATGTAGAGTCCTCCTCCACATCATCCATATCCACAGCCTCGAGGAAGTCAGAAGCGGCATCATCGCCGTCTGCGCCCTCGTCGCCTGGGTCCACTTCGAGCAGGTCCTCGAATAATGGCGGCATATCAGCGTCATTGTCATTCAGCATATCTGACCATAGTTCAGTCTTACGGGGCTGTTGAGTGACGGCTGTGGGTTTATCGGTGGTCCCCGCCAGCAACGGGTCCTGGGGATGGGCCACCGCAACTCTGAGCCTCCTCTCCAATATTTTCCCAGGCATAGATGCGTAATACCCGCAGGACTCGCGGTCAGCGAGCGCTGCCTGAGCGTGTTTAGCGCCCATGCAGGTTATGCACATAGGGTGAGGGTCCCTGCCTGAGATGGCAGACCCGCATGACGCGGGACATGTGCGGGATGCAGCCTCCTTCGGCTTCGGATCCGACCCTTTGGCGGGGGTGGTAGCCGTAGACATGCCTGACAGAGAGGAGAGCTGGAGTGAGCACGATTGTATGAACCAGACAATTCGGGTTTTAAGTCGAAAAATCAGGTCCAGGCAAATTCTGTTCGCCACAACACGTTAACAGAACCGCGCACTACAATCTGTTGGCCAGTAAATTAATACTAACCAACCGAACAGAAGGACTCCGCTTTACGCGAGAGCCCTGGGTTAACAAGTGAATGCTAACCGCAAGGTGATAGGGCAGACCGCAACTTAATGTGATCTGTCCCCGTAAACACAAGAGCAGTTCGCCTTGACGCGGTCACTGCTCCGGTAACAAAATAATAATAGCTTAGTGGTAAGACTGTAAGGACTTACCCAGCGTCGGTGAACCAAAGCACCCGCAACTGCGCTCACCAACGAAATCCTTTACGGCTCGTCTGTGAACTGTTAAGCAGAAGCTAGCCTAAGGTCCGAGAACGCTGAAGGAGCTAAAAGATATGGTTTCCACGCGGGAAGAAAGCGAGAATGATTCCAAAAGGAGGAGGTTGACTGTACCAGGGTAGGTGGGCGGTGCTAGGTACTGTCAACCTGTCTGTCAAAAGACAGACGTGGTGCCATTGGAGCTTCCATGGATGGTCACGCCCAAGGCGATTCCCATAGTGAAACACCGAACGAAGTTAGAAAAAGAACACTATTTACCCCTGATACTGGTTTCCCCATATACTTTTGAGATATTATTCAACATTCTAAAACATGAAATGACAAAGTAAATAGTCTCATTATCATTCTTTTACAATAAGATAAATTAAGATAGACTTTATTGATCTCACACTGGACAATGTCACATTTGGCGTGGATAGAATCATTCAGATTGGGCAAAATAGAGAAGTGTGCAATCATGTTAAAGGTTAAAAATATAGTTCGTGAAGGATATAATAATATACAGTACATGGCAATAAATGAAAGTGGCAATAACAATGCAATTTTTGTTCAGTCCTAGAACATTAAGTGACTCAAAGTGACTTTTTGCACAGTCTGACAGCAGTGGGGATATGGCCAGAAATAATGTGTCATATTTCTTCTTTAATTTTGCAGAAACAAAAGGCCTACTTAGAGTCCCATCTGCTCTATTGTCAATCATTCATCACACCAAGCCCTAAACCAAAAGCACACACCATCCCAGATCTCATGTCATCACTCCACTTCACCACAACCAAAACTTTTCAAAACTCGCGTCAGTATCTGTGACCCACAAGCAGGTGGTGCTGCGAGCAAACCAAACCCTGGGAAAAAGCATTAGTTTCGCGAACATTGCCTTTCGCTGCTCCTCTCTTGACACAGCAGCCCTCAAATCCCGCTCTACTACTTCTCATTCATCCCATACTTCCTGCGCTCTCTCCACTATACTGTGCCAATCCTTCTAATTGATACCACTTCCACTACAGTTCCTCCCCTCTCCTCGCCGCGTCCTCACGATGCCCTGACCGGTCGCTCAGTAGTCGTAATCCACGGGTATAGCAAATAATCAGAATAATTTGCTTGTGTTTTTTTCTTGGGTCATTGGCTCCCTGTATGTACCACTTGTCATTTTTTCAATTACCAGCGTTGCGGTTAAACGTTGCTTCTTTAGCCTGGAGCTGGAGAATACTCTACTAAGCCCTATTAGGTTTTAGCCAGTGCTTCGCTCATTAGCTTGTCAGGGGAAGAGAGTGGAAGAGGGGAAGCTGGGTCAGGGTGGAGGAAAGGCCGCTGTGGAGATTGTTAAGGAGTTTTGTGGATGTGGACTTATAGCTGGGTCCTGCCTATAGGACGCCGTCGTGCTGACCTTTTAGAGCCAAATCAGTGCGCGCTCCTAATTGACCGTATCACTTGGCTTCTATTGCGCGGCAGCAATGAGTGAGAGTTACAACGAGAGAGCAGGCAGTGAGGCTGTAACTGCAAAAAAAAAAAAAGTGGCGGGAAATAGGTCAAAAATGGCTCAAATTTGGCGAAATGTAGCATAATGTGTGCACATTTTGACTGGCTTAAAACAAGATTTGCCAATGGGACAAAGCAAAATGATCTTGTTTAAAGAAGACGCAAGAAATTCTCTCTCTTGGAATGAGATAATTGCAACAGTTCTTGAAAAAAAGACTAAATGGCTTTGTCCCATTGGCAAATCTGGTTTTAAGACAGACAGAATGTACTCAAATTAAGGTGAAAACCACTTGACCAAAGCAATTATTACGTCATATGTCATCACTTTTTGCAGTGTAGGCTACTGGTTCAGGTAATGGACCGTTGTTGCTATCTTTTTGTTCAGCACTAACCCTGTATGAATTGTGCTATACAAATACACTTGCCTAGAATGTTCCTGATTAATAAATTAGGGCTTCTTCACTGTCAATTGAAGTTATGATGAATGAAAAAGGTTAAGATTATTTTTTTCCTCTTGGATAAAACTTGGGTACTCAACTTAAAAAAATATATATATATTTTTTGTCCGTATAGGGTCCTTCTAGCCTGGTCGTACCACACCATAGTACAAATGACATTTCATACTAAGGTCTGGAGGTGCTCCATTGAGTTTCGTTTACAGATAGGAGGGGTTAACTCCTTTTGCAGATTGAAACGATTGGATCTGAGTTTACCGTGACGTATGTAATGCGCCCGAGTGTGTTGTTAGCATTTAGCATTTAGTCTAGCCATCTCCTTTGCCGCTAACGGAGCCCGTGGGGAGTAGCGCCACAATTTATTCTAGCGATTACATTTGCTAAACATTCCTATTGCTCTGGCTTCAATTTCTTGATAGAACCAGACCGGATTACTTTACTATCGCATTTTTCGCCATTACCGAACTACGGCCTTCCCGTTCGACGCAAACTCTTGACGTCACCCACAACTAACTACAACACCCGCCTTCCACGCACTCTGAATGGTCGGTCGAAATTCAACCGATTGTAATCGCTAACATGGGGACTAGACCCAGACGTTACATGCAGTGAAATGATGATTGAACGGAGTGTACGGATGGCTATGGCCGGGCTAGGGTATTTCCAATCTGGAGATGAATGCCCTGATGACGTCATTTGCCATGTGGTCATAAAGCCACATAAAAAACAATATTCCATCTCTAGTGCCTCGGTCTTAAATGTTGTGGCGCCACCTGCATGTGAAAGCCAGATCCCAACAGACCTCTGAAACTAAGCAGGGCAAGGCCGCAATATTAATGTAATGGGAGACCTCAGGGAACAGTAGGCGCCACAAACTGTTGTTGTGTCCTTAGGCAAGACACTTCACCCACATTGACTAGAATGAGTCTGGAGTGTGTGAATAGTTGGTTGTGGACAGAGAGACTGATGGAACATACTGGTTGTCTCACTGCTGTCAGTGTGCCCCAGGGCAGTTGTGGCTACAGTAGTAGTCACAGTTATCACCACCGTGTATGGAGTGAAAGAATAATGTGAAATGTCTTTGAGTGTCCAATAAAGCGCAATACTAAACAGATGCATTATTATTTTTATGTTTTGCTTTTTGACACTGATCCCTGCAGCACTCCTGTCTTCTCAATTTCTGGTTTGCCAATTGGAATTAAAATGTACTTAAATTAAGGCAAGGCAAGTTTATTTTTTATGGCACAATTCAAACACAAGGCAACTCAAAGTGCTGAGAAAATAATTTAGTGGTTTGCAGAAATTATCAAACACTAGAGTCAAGCAATAATATTTTATCATTTGTTTTGCAGTGAATGGTTCCTTATTCCACTAAAATTATATCCTCTAAGTGATTTCCCCCATTTTGAGAACTGTAATGGATTGTATTGTTATTGGGGCCTTGAGCAAGATATTACCCACTTTACTTATGTGAGTGGTCAGTAATATACACTGATTTAAGACCATTGGCGCCCGTGGCCGTTATGGGGGGGGGGGGGAATACCATAATAATACAATGCAACTTAGATTATTGATGAAACCCAGGCCTTTATGCAGCTGAGTGTTGATAAAACTTTAAAACTGTTTTTCTTCCTTTTAGTATTGACATATTCCAAGCTCTACAGACATCATTACCCAGAATTCCCTGCTTCCTCAATGACCTCAGCGATCCCTGTCCCTCTGCCAGCTAAATGGAGGTTGCATCCATTATTGAGGTGCTCCATTCCAAACGTCACTTGTTTTGTCTTGTGCTAATGTTAGCTTCAGGGAGGGCAACTTTTTAGCAGCACATTAGCTAAGCATGTACAAGGTGACACCATTGTTCGGCCTCATCGCTTCAACCTTGCACTCTGACACTGCGCAAGTCCTCCAGCGAGCTTCGGTCTTGTATTCTCATGTGCATGTCCCGCTAAAACAAGGCTGATTGTAACTATTCATCATCCCGCCTGGCTTAATTGGACCACGGGAAGATTGGAGGACGAGGGGCGCGGAGGGGGGCGTGGATGGAATGCAACGGCAGCCAATCGGGACAGTCCTCATGTCTATTATTAAATGGTCCACATAGAGAATTTATGCAGGAGAGCCTAAACATTAAGAGATATGCGTTTGTGCACGAAACATGGCAGATTCCAAGTCATGACAGCCAAAATGTCATTAATTAGAAACCATAGAGAATCATAGATAATTATTAAAGGAACTATACCTGATTTATTTTCTAACGAGTTCATACAAGTGCGTATTACAACTATTTTAATTGAAAAGTTAAGCTCATTGATTCAGCTGTGTATGAATTCAGGCTGTAAAAAGTGCTGAGTTGAAACTTGGCGCTGCTCTCCACCAATCACAGAATGAGGAGCAGCGCTGTTACGAACAGGCCGCGTCCTCTAGCGTCTGCAGCGTAGGTAAACAAGGGCAGCATGTTAGCCGAAAGTGGCTATAACTCCTCTGGCCGTAACTGCAGACACAGCAAAACAGCCCAAATGACGCAACAGTGACGAAGAGAAGAGTAAACTAAAGCAAAAAAATTATCAACCAAGAAATCAAGCTCGGGTGAATATAGGTAGCGTTTGCTTACATCAGATCCTCTGGAGGGGACTGTCTCGGACTCCAATCTAGCGG